TTTTTTTTTATAAACATGTGCTTGACAAACATCTTTGTATTGGGTGTCTTTTTGCTTTAACCTGTCTTCTTTTCCATTCATCAGTAGCTATGTTTCCATCCAAAGATTCGAATTAAACTTATTCGCAAAACTGGAATATTGCATAAAACATATGCGAATAAAGCACCGTTTCCATCGAACGAGTAAAAGAGAACAAAATCGTAACTTCCTGGTAAACTGTGGCACTAAATATCACTAAGGGTATAGGAGAAGCCACTGAATTTAATAATTTTCATATATGATATAAATTACTTGCACCTCAGAGCGAGCAGACGTAACACAATAAATGCTGTCAATGCTTTTAGAGGTGGATGCCTGCTGTTTGGGAGCGCAGTCGTGTAAGACAGTAATTATAACTGGCTCTGGTATTGTGTAGTCTCTCTCTCTCTCTCTCTCTCTCTCTCTCTCTCTCTCTTTTTCAAGCATTTCAAGCAACTGTGAGATCGTCATCATGCTTGTCTCTCAGAATTCAAAAAATTATGTCAAGTTGGACAGATAGTGAAACTAAAGTGCTTATCCTCATCCGTGCAGATGTAGAAAACGCTGAAGCATTTAAAGGTCATTTCTGTTGATTGACATCATGGAGTTTATTGGTATTTTGGTACTGATGTGTGAATGGTATTTTAGCTGTAAAAAAAAATGTAAAGCATTTGTATATTTACCAAAAATTCTAGGAATTTTACGGTAATTTACCAGGTTTCATATGTGTAAGCATCAATACTTTGACAGTTTTTAATTATTTTTGCAGTTCCATCGGTGACACCACTGGTGCAAGAATTACATACTTCAGTTTAAACTATCACTTCCATTGATTACTTTTCAGCGAAACAGAAGAAATAGAAAGTTGACATCATACTTTGATGCGCATCAAATATTGTAGAGCTGGGGTGTGTGGGTGTTTTTATCCTTTAAGATTTGTTGATGGCTGGAGAAATCCCAAAGTAAAGCCATGGCACCAGCGCCCGTTTGAACTTCTGATGTGACAGGCATCTGTTTCCATGGAGACAGCTGAAAACTCTAGGAAGTGTCTTAACTAACTCATCGGCAAGAAGTTGACTGTGTCTGAAACATTCAGACAGCTGCTGCCTTCAAGACCTATTGGGAACTTCCCACTTGCAAACTCTGAACTTGTCACTGCGGTGTGATGTGTGTTCAAGTGCTGTGGCTGGAATAAAATGGATGCATTGAGCATTTTTGTGAGGGTCAAGTGTAATCTCTATATTTTCTCAGTTTCTTTCTGTATTATTTTTCATTCTCATGCAGCCACAGCAAATGATGACGGATGTGTTTTGGCCATGCTGGCCAGTTGCTTCATTATCCAGCAGCTATGCTAATGTTTCCTGGTGAGACTTATCGCTATTCCTCATCACATGCACAAAATATATGCAAACCAGTTTTCACATAGCGATTGAGCTCTTGGAAAAATCTAATCTCACCCGTAAAAATCTAATCAAATCAATGTAGTGTATCGAGTAAAATTCTTAAAATTAAAACATTGTTTATTAGCAGCTGCAAAACATAATTTGGTTACATTTTAGTTTAACAGACTTGATTAATTTGTCCTCAAGCCGTGATGAACTGCATTTTCAGTTGAATCATGCGCTAACAGCACAAAGATAAACATGGAGATAACTGGCAATTAAAACGTTGTGGCGCCGTTCATGTGCATTCATCTTGTAAATACGATTATCCCTACGTGACTTGAAGGCAGCAAGTGACACCTGACTTGAAGAATGTCACTGCTGCGCTGTAATCATGAATGTGAAGCTGCACCTGTGGAGAGCAGAGCTCAGCTCCTCCAGTCTGTGGGACTCGCTGCTGTTGCTCATTTTTGATAGGGTGTCGATCCTCTTCATGATTATCTCCAACATATCGCTGATCTTTCTCAGGACCCCACGAGACTCCAGACCTCCCAACACTGTCACACAAAACAATGAGGACATGTCAGTTCAGACAGATAAAACAAGCAACATGTTATGCTTACAGACCTTGCTGAAAAGATCAATGTGAGTTACAGAAAGGGATAGTTAACTCAAAAATGATAGTCATACTATCACATTCTTTCATGGAACACAAGAGGACATATTTTGGAGAATGTATAGAACAAATGCAACGTTGCAACACTGTCACATAAGATATGTTTTAACCACTTTATATTTAATATTTAATAATTTTTATGTATATAGAACTTGGTTTGGATTTTGTATGTTTTTTTGTGTATGTTTAATATACACAATGTACCTGCCATGTGAAAACAGAACAAAAGTCATTGCACCAAAGCTCCAAAAATGTTAAAAAAATTATTGACATACAATATTGACATAAATGTCTTCTGAAGAAGAGCCTGTGTGCTTGAAACGCGTGCTTGTGTGATAGTCCGGTAATACATTTTTGCATTTTTTGGAGATTTGGTTATGGTTGCCAGCTGATCCGTATAGTACAGAATTGTCCCATCATAGAAGTTTATCCCGTATCCGCAGCCATACGTCAAGTGACCATCAGACCATATGAATATAAAATTCAAAATTTATAATTAATCATTCTTTTTGGACACATTATTGTTTTATTTGTTAGTGTAAGATCGGTCCGCTGCTAGTCAAGTTATCTCGTCCCATAGAGCAAAGTCACGTGACTTTTTCGATGCGCATGGAGGAATTTATTCGGTAAATGTTTTTCCATCGTAGTTTATGCGCAGTTTTTCTTATCGGATAAAAAGTTTATCCTACTCAAATGTGCAAATAAGTTTTTTATGTGCATTTTTAGAATTTATGCGCATCTTGGCGTTTCCATCCAGCTTTTTTTTTATGCGATGTTCCAAAATGCGCATAAAAATAGGTGGATGGAAACGCAGCTACTGGCTCTGCACTGAATAGTATTGTGTAGTCTCTCTCTCTCTCTCTCTCTCTCTCTCTCTCTCTCTCTTTTTCAAGCAAAAATGTGTTCTGTGAGATCGTCATCATGCTTGTCTCTCAGAATTCAAAAAATTATGTCAAGTTGGACAGATAGTGAAACTAAAGTGCTTATCCTCATCCGTGCAGATGTAGAAAACGCTGAAGCATTTAAAGGTCATTTCTGTTGATTGACATCATGGAGTTTATTGGTATTTTGGTACTGATGTGTGAATGGTATTTTAGCTGTAAAAAAAAATGTAAAGCATTTGTATATTTACCAAAAATTCTAGGAATTTTACGGTAATTTACCAGGTTTCATATGTGTAAGCATCAATACTTTGACAGTTTTTAATTATTTTTGCAGTTCCATCGGTGACACCACTGGTGCAAGAATTACATACTTCAGTTTAAACTATCACTTCCATTGATTACTTTTCAGCGAAACAGAAGAAATAGAAAGTTGACATCATACTTTGATGCGCATCAAATATTGTAGAGCTGGGGTGTGTGGGTGTTTTTATCCTTTAAGATTTGTTGATGGCTGGAGAAATCCCAAAGTAAAGCCATGGCACCAGCGCCCGTTTGAACTTCTGATGTGACAGGCATCTGTTTCCATGGAGACAGCTGAAAACTCTAGGAAGTGTCTTAACTAACTCATCGGCAAGAAGTTGACTGTGTCTGAAACATTCAGACAGCTGCTGCCTTCAAGACCTATTGGGAACTTCCCACTTGCAAACTCTGAACTTGTCACTGCGGTGTGATGTGTGTTCAAGTGCTGTGGCTGGAATAAAATGGATGCATTGAGCATTTTTGTGAGGGTCAAGTGTAATCTCTATATTTTCTCAGTTTCTTTCTGTATTATTTTTCATTCTCATGCAGCCACAGCAAATGATGACGGATGTGTTTTGGCCATGCTGGCCAGTTGCTTCATTATCCAGCAGCTATGCTAATGTTTCCTGGTGAGACTTATCGCTATTCCTCATCACATGCACAAAATATATGCAAACCAGTTTTCACATAGCGATTGAGCTCTTGGAAAAATCTAATCTCACCCGTAAAAATCTAATCAAATCAATGTAGTGTATCGAGTAAAATTCTTAAAATTAAAACATTGTTTATTAGCAGCTGCAAAACATAATTTGGTTACATTTTAGTTTAACAGACTTGATTAATTTGTCCTCAAGCCGTGATGAACTGCATTTTCAGTTGAATCATGCGCTAACAGCACAAAGATAAACATGGAGATAACTGGCAATTAAAACGTTGTGGCGCCGTTCATGTGCATTCATCTTGTAAATACGATTATCCCTACGTGACTTGAAGGCAGCAAGTGACACCTGACTTGAAGAATGTCACTGCTGCGCTGTAATCATGAATGTGAAGCTGCACCTGTGGAGAGCAGAGCTCAGCTCCTCCAGTCTGTGGGACTCGCTGCTGTTGCTCATTTTTGATAGGGTGTCGATCCTCTTCATGATTATCTCCAACATATCGCTGATCTTTCTCAGGACCCCACGAGACTCCAGACCTCCCAACACTGTCACACAAAACAATGAGGACATGTCAGTTCAGACAGATAAAACAAGCAACATGTTATGCTTACAGACCTTGCTGAAAAGATCAATGTGAGTTACAGAAAGGGATAGTTAACTCAAAAATGATAGTCATACTATCACATTCTTTCATGGAACACAAGAGGACATATTTTGGAGAATGTATAGAACAAATGCAACGTTGCAACACTGTCACATAAGATATGTTTTAACCACTTTATATTTAATATTTAATAATTTTTATGTATATAGAACTTGGTTTGGATTTTGTATGTTTTTTTGTGTATGTTTAATATACACAATGTACCTGCCATGTGAAAACAGAACAAAAGTCATTGCACCAAAGCTCCAAAAATGTTAAAAAAATTATTGACATACAATATTGACATAAATGTCTTCTGAAGAAGAGCCTGTGTGCTTGAAACGCGTGCTTGTGTGATAGTCCGGTAATACATTTTTGCATTTTTTGGAGATTTGGTTATGGTTGCCAGCTGATCCGTATAGTACAGAATTGTCCCATCATAGAAGTTTATCCCGTATCCGCAGCCATACGTCAAGTGACCATCAGACCATATGAATATAAAATTCAAAATTTATAATTAATCATTCTTTTTGGACACATTATTGTTTTATTTGTTAGTGTAGCTGTTCAATTAAGGCTTTTGCAGAATCCTCTGCTGCCTGGTTGCTTTTGCTTCACAGAGAGCAGGATTTGAGCTAACGGCAATTCCTTTCACAGTTCACATTTTGATTTCAACAAATCAGTTTGGGAGAGTGCAAACAACGTGATTATTGATCATGAGTTAGCCACACAAGAAACAATACAATCTATTTGAGGTTTGTATTGTAAGTTACTATTGTAAGTTAATGGTGTTAAACGGAGAAAAAAATATGCATTTTTAAAATTGGAAATTCTAGCGTATTCTTAATCTTGGACCTCATTGAAGCACAAATTCAAGCAGCAAAAGCAGTCCATACTAACTCTCTAAGTTCCAACTATTCATAGGCTACATGGTTACAATAACATTTTAGTTCAAAATTTAAAGAGCCATTGTTTAAAAAAATGCTTGATTGACTGACATTCAGCTGTCATAGACATTCAGTTGTTGTTCTTTCAAATTGTATTCCATATTTATGTATGTACGTAAAGTATTACACCACTTGTGCAGTCACAATTCCATAGTAGCCACTCGACATTCCAATGACATTTTTTTATGACATTAAACTTATTTTTAGAATAACTGCACATAGGTTAAGCATTATTTCTAAGAACCTTTTAAACACCTTTTATAAACATACTTAACTGCAGACACTCAAATGACATACATTATGTGGTACCTTTCAAATATTTTGAGCGTCCCTTATTCTGTCCACTATTTTCCTATAAAGAATCACAATTGGGATTAATAAGGGATTATTTTCCTTTTCTGAAGTTGGCAACTCTAGCTTTGGTGTACTGTACCAACCCATGTTGAGCATGCATTCATTTTTACTGAACAATCATAACGACAGGAAACTAGGAAATGCACCAAGAGCAGCATGGCAATCAAAATGGCTGTCACCAAACACAATGATAGCTGTGGGGGGGATCACTGATACTCTGGACTGTGCATTTCCCTATTTGTGGGCTTACCTTCCCAGAGACTGGCTTGAAGGGTTTTGGATTATCAGTTTTTGTGGATTGTATATACACTGGTGGACAGATTTAGACTTTCAGCACACTGGGACTCTTAAAGACTGTTTGAGATATGGTGCAAATGGAAACTCTGCTTTAGACAGCCTATTTTATGTTGTTTTAATTTCAGTGTGTTCAAATCTGACCCCATTATGATTTGTATCTCAACCGAAAGGCACTACTTACTGTATATATTAATATAAATAATTGGACATATGAGAACATTAAAGGGGTCTTATCATGCTTTTTCACTTTTTCAACTTTAGTTAGTCTGTGATGTTGCTGTTTGAGCATAAAAAAGATCTGCAAAGTTACAAAGTTCAAAGTCCACTTCAAAAGGAGATCTTTTATTTAACAAAAATCACTTTTCAAAAACTACAACAAACGACTCGTTTGGACTACAACGCGTATTTTCCAGGATTTGTGATATCAGAAAGATCGACAAATGGGACGAGACCTGGTTGAGCTGCACTAGAGAAGGCAACGAGTGTTATCACTATGTCGGAGACACGCTAGTTTTCCCAAGGCAGACGAACTTAGAGTGGTTACAATCATCTGGGTTTAAATCGTGCTCAAATTGATTTGATTTTGACGCAATATTTTACACTGAAGTTCGCAGGCGGCTATGGTAAGGGGCATGACATTTCCCGACCAGGCGCCGAGTGCTGAACATCAAGACTTTGTAAAAGAGCATAATAGGACCCCTTTAATGAGATTTAAGAGCTGCTGAGAGTGTTCATCAGTGGTAGGAAGTATTCATAAAGCTAATTTCTTAAACATTTCTTATTATCAATAATTAAACCAGTTGTGTTGCTTAATATTTTCGTGGAATTTTTTTTTTTTTTTTCAGGGTTCTTTTGAATAGAGTTTGTTGGAAATAATATGCATGTATAAGTAGTTGTATACTGTAAGTTATTTTCACTTGATCAGTTTATACATCTTTGCTGAATAAAAGTATAAACTTGCACGACACTGCTTTTTTTTCAGTAAGCTTCATTTATACCTTAAATTTTAACCTAAACTACTGCCTTTTTGTAATTTTTAAAGCTCAGCAGATTCATTCCAACTTCACTTTTCATTGTATGGGGACCGATTAGTGTGCCATGAATTTGTAAACATAATCTGTGTTCTGCAAAATGAAAGAAAGGTTTGGAATGACACAAGGGTAAATGATGGAAGAACAGTTGACACCACGGCTACACGAGTCCCCATGCAGCTAGACCAGCACCAGTCCAGCATGAAAATTTATGTTGGCCTGAGCCAGTCTTTTCAACAGAGGAAAAACACAACACAGAGGTAAATGTACTCTAGGGCTGCACTCCCTGCTCAGAAAGGCTCAAAAACAAAGTCATGACAAAACAAGAGCCTAAATGGAGACTGAACTCAAATTCGTTGGCATATTAGTTGTATTTACTCATAATACAAACAACAGGCAGAGGGTTTTATTCAACAACATTTCAAAAGCATCTCATTAGCACAGCCTCTCTCTCTTTCAAGAGCATCAGCGGTGAGGCCGCAGACTTCAAGTCTCATAACTGAAGAAAGGACACAAACAGCACAATACAGGAAGGGGACCAATTAGGCTGACAGTCAAGTTTAATTTCAGAGCTTTCCGAACTCCTGCCGTCTGTTTCCCCGGAAAGCTGGTGCAAGTGAGTGGATGTCTCTCACCTGGCCAATTAAACAGAACACATCTACAACTGTGAGGTCAGTAGGCCTTCAGAACACTCCGCTCTGACATTCTCTTTTCCCACTCGCTGTTGAGATCATCCTGAAGTGAATGCATCTTTCTAATGATGAAGGCTACAAGAACATTATAGCCGAGTTATTTCAAAACTTTCTTTTACCCATACGAAGGCATCTCCTCCTACATTATTTTGGGGTCAACACTTCTCAGTGTTGGATATGTGCTCTTTCATTGTAAGCAACATGTTCACCAAAGCATAAATCTGTGATTGTTTACTCACCCTCATGTTGTTTCAAACCTGCATGCATTTTTGTCTTGTGTGGAACACAAATGTGACCCTGGACCACAAAACCAGTCATAATAGCACGGGTATATTTGTAGCAATAGCCAACAATACATTGTATGGGTCAAAATGATCAATTCTTCTTCTATGCCAAAAATACATATAGGATATTGAATAAAGATCATGTTCCATGAAGTTATTTTGCAATTTTCTTACCTTAAATATAGCAAAACTTAATTTTTGATTAGTAATATACATTGCTAAGAACTTCATTTGGACAACTTTAAAGGTGATTTTCTCAATTTT